GAGAGAGAGAGAGAGAGAGAGAGAGAGACAGAGAGAGAGAGAGAGAGAGAGAGAGAGAGAGAGAGAGAGAGAGAGACACAGACAGAGACAGACAGACAGAGAGAGACAGACACACAGACACAGACACACAGACACAGACAGACAGACAGACAGAGAGACAGAGAGACAGAGAGACAGACAGAGAGACAGAGAGACAGAGAGACAGAGAGACAGACAGACAGAGAGACAAACAGACAGAGAGACAAACAGACAGAGAGACAAACAGACAGACAGAGAGACAGACAGACAGACAGACAGAGAGGGAGACAGAGAGAGACTGCATGATGGTTTTCCCTGCATCTAACATATTCAAGGGCAAGAAACATTGCAGTTTTCATTTACTTTATGAGGAAAACAAATATACATGTTTTGTGCATACAAGATGTAAATTACAATATTCACATTTATGAACAGGTTGGCAGTGTGCCCCATAAAGTCATTATTTAGGTAAATCTCAAAGGCCTACCACACTTTGGAAGCTACTTAAAATCGATTAGTGAAATCCAATCTGTAAGCAACTAAGACACAAGTGGTCAGGCAAATTAGGCATCCAATATTTTACAAAAACTGTATGATTCAGTTCAATTTAATCATATAAAAATTCACATGATGCACATTAACTTCTGAACAATGGGCTATCCACTGCTCTACCTGAAACAGCTGCCCAAACTAGTAAAAAAAAAAAAAACTGGCTTGTTTTGTGTTGCACTGCATTTTGTTGGATGCAGCAAGTCCTATTAAGTTGCATTTAGACTGCAGGCAAAGAAGGCCAAACACAGCCTATTTTTGGCAAAGGCTGCATTTGCGATTTGAAGGTAGATGCATGCATTCAAATGGAAAATGCTTGTCCACATAAACACTGAAGCAGGACAAATGCACCTGCAAAGAATTCTGAACGATCTCAGAAGCATTTCAAACGGATTTTAAAAGCATGTTGCATTTGCAGTCTAAAGCTTGCCGTAAAGAACTGCATGGAGCACACCGCAATGCCGTGTGTTCCATCCAGTGCAATTGCAAACAATTGTGCATGCAGTTTTATTCTGAAGTAACCTTCATGTTTGTAACACTGCATTTGTGTATTTTATTTAAAATTATGCATGGTATTTTTTTATTTTTAATCCAATTAATCGAAAAATAAAAATCAGCCAACTAATTGATTATGAAACAAATAATTAGTTGCAGCCCTAGATACAGGACTCCCAATGCACACGCACCAAAATTGCAGCTCTCAAAAATTTCCTTGAGACTGGATGAAATAGGTGCTCATACACATCCTTGAGATCAATTGATGCCAGAAATGCACTTTTGGGTATTAAAGTAATTTTCAACCGGATGGGAAGGAGGGGGTAGACAATTCTATTTTATAATCCTTCCTGATCACCTTCAATACCCATAATTTTGAAGTGGAACGTTTCCATTTCTCCAAAAAGAAGGCCACACCACCCCTCCCCCACAGGAATCAACAAGTCCTTGTTCCTGGGAATGTTGAGGTCCCATCTACAGCATTGATCAGAGAAACCCTTTCTTACATCCTTTCCCTAGAGAGGGCTTGTACCTTCTAAATTACTTTAAAAAGTAACAATACTTTTGTGGCTAAATCGTTTTGTTTTTTTTGCATGGAATGCTTTTTTACAGCGTTATTCAACACCTTATAAAAAAGGTCTGGACCGAAGAAAAAACTATCCTTAATAAAATTTAATACTCACATAACCGCATGTTA